ACAATTACAAGTTGATTTATCACTGGACAAAACAACTTAATAATTTTTTTTTTTTAAATCAATTTCTTTTTAAAACATGTTCACCGTGTCTGTCACAGATGACGATTCTATCACGATGGTCTACTGAAATCTTTGAAGACACTGCCTCACGGCGTTGACTGATGTGACATTGCAGATTTATTTCAATATAGTTCATTCATTTAATGACATGAATGAGTTGACACCTACGTAACGATATAATGTATAGGTTTCAGTTAAAATGTCTTAAGGTTGTATTAAACAGTTCATGCAAAGTGCAAGTAGGTTTGGAAGCCTCTGTCGTTTTTTAGCTGTTACAGTGTGTTCAAAACTGCTTGATCTAAAATGTGTGGTGATGTATATATGTTTGATCTGGGGATTTTTTTTTATTTAAATCTTGAAAATATTAAAGGGAACACAAGATCAATTTCTTTTTAAAACATGTTCACCGTGTGTGTCACAGATGATGTTCACGATGGTCTACTGAAATCATTGATGACACTGCCTCACGGCATTGACTGATGTGACTAATTGATATTAAGGATCTGGATCATACATTAACAATCCTTGTCCCACAGAGAAACTATTTTTCATACAGTAATCTTCCCTTTTGTTTTGTCATTGATAAAACTAGCGTGACTGGGCAAGGGAACCGAGGTTGATTTCATCGCTCATCTGGTTAGAGCAGCTGTACTATGATCGTAGATTACAGGGTTCAAATCACAATGTGCTCCTATTGCAGATTCTTTTTACTTTATCTTCATTATTTTTTCACGAAAATTCCACAAGTGAAGGTACAGGGCTTATTATATCATGCCGATAAAACGATGTCCAACCCATAGTTGCAGCTTTAAAGTTTTGGCATTGATACAAAGATATATATAAGCTGGCGATTCCAAATTAAAATCAGTCATATCTACGGACATCAACCTTACTTTAATTTTCACCTCTAGCTCACAACAAATAGAGGGTGCACATTTGCGTGTAAATAAAAATGACTTTTTAAGATTTTCTTATCTTCTCTCTCCCCAAATGATACCTACACAATTTTTAAGCAAAACTCATACATGTTAACCCATCCAACAATATTATAAAACCCTGAATCGACTCCTAAATGAACAAGATTTCATCTTTATAGAACTGAGGTTGACGAATGTATAGAATAACTATTTATTTATTGAAGATTTCCTCTTTCCTTTGCAACTTACTGCAAATTTTGTTACTGTCCTTCAGAGTTAGACACTTAATGTATGGCTTGGTAGTCCACAGGACTAGTTGAATAGATTATTTACTTTTCCTTCGTCAACGTAACTAGTCCCAAGATTTCCTGATGAGGAAACATGGTGAAGTTTTAGAGAGAAAAATGACAGATATCATGCTTATTTTAAGCAGTTTTCTAAATTGTAAAAAGGAATATTCTTATTTTATAATTCACAAATCTAAAGGACCAGTTAGGTTAGGTGATTCACTAACCCTTGCTGAAAACTACTTGTTAGTGTCGAGCGGACTAGTGTTAGTGTCGACCCTGTCCTTGTTCTGTTGGTGCCATGAATGTTCAGTGAGATAAAAGCCACAATTTTCTCTATTTCCAGGCTTATGACGCTTCCTACATTGACAAGAAATGCCCTTTCACTGGCAATGTGAGCATCCGAGGACGAATCCTTACCGGAGTGGTCATGAAGTTGAAGATGCAGAGGACCATCGTAATCCGAAGGGATTATCTCCACTACGTCAAGAAGTACAACAGATTTGAGAAGCGACACAAGAACATGTCTGTTCATATCAGTCCATGTTTCAGGTGAGCAAGAAAAGAAGTATTTTTCATCAGAGTTGTCTCCCTAAAGTAAAGAAATGTTTTTGAAAGAAATTTTTCAGAGTAATGTGTCATGTAAATATGTATTGATAGACTTAAAACTTTCAACATGCATGATTGGCAATTTGACACTAAAGGCACTATTCCGATGTACACATTGACAATTTGTGCATGCTTCAAGCAGATGGACAAACAGCCAGCATTTATCTTAAAACATTGGCTCTAAATGATTCAATTTGTCTGTTGGCCGTAATGTAAAACAATACAAAAACAAAACTGTCACCCAGCAGTTTATGCATAATGCTGTTACTGTAGATAAACACCTTAAATGAATAAAAAAAATACCTAAAGACCATATGTTTGATTTGGAAATGGAAATAGTCTAGAGCTGGTAATAGAGATCCAAACAATCTTGTGTTAGGGAATTTATAATTATTTTATTATATTTTAAGCTTGTGTGGTAAAAAAAAAAGGTTGTTTATTTTGAGTATTTTTTTATCATTGACTAGTTGAATGCTTTAATGTATGTGTGATGGATTGCTGTGTTACAGGGACGTTGCCCCAGGAGACGTGGTGACAGTAGGAGAGTGCCGACCCCTCAGTAAGACTGTGCGTTACAATGTCCTCAAGGTCACCAAGGGCGCCGGTTCAAAGAAGGGCTTCTCCAAATTCTAAATGTACTGGAAATAAATAAAAAAAAATGTAACAAAACCAAAAAGTGTCGTACTTGTAGCTTGCCTGGTAGAAAATCCTGTGAGTCTATAGCTATGGTATGGTGCATTATCCCTTTGTCATCTTTTACAGTTTTAAGCTGCCCAAAGGGCAAGTGAGCATGGTGCAGCATCTGTGGTCCATCTGTTCAGCGTCATCTTTTTACTTTTAACAACTTCTTCTCAGTTACCAAAATGCCTAGGATGATGATATTTGGCCAGTAGCATGCTTGGCTGAAAGGCTACCAAGTTTGTTCAAATGAATAACCTTCATCCATTTTCAAGGTCACAGGGGTCAAATATGTTAAAATCTTTTAATGACTTCTGAATAACCAAGAGGCCTAGGGGGATGATATTTGGCCAGTAACATGCTGGAATGAAGGGCTACCATGTTTATTCAAATGAATGACCTTGACATATATTCAAGGTCACAGGGGTCAAATATGTTTAAAACAACTTTTGAATTACCAAAAGGCCTATGATGATGATGATATTTGGCCTGTAACATGCTGGGATGAAGTGTAACAAAGTTTGTTCAAATGAATGACCTTCAGCTATTTGCAAGGTCACAGGGGTCAAATATGTTGAAATCTCTTAAACAACTTTCTGAATAATCTAAAGGTCAAGGTAATGATATTTGGCCAGAAAGAAGCATGCTGGTATGAAAGGCTATAAAAGTCTGTTCAACTAAACGTCCTTGTATGACTTTCAAGGTCACATGTTATAATCTTTTAATAGATTCTTTTTAATCAAACACTGAAATTTTGCCTGTAGCTGTATTTTTGTCTACTTTTAAGATTAAAATCAGGTGAGCGACTCGGCCCAGTGGGCCTCTTTGTTTCTTGAAAACTGAAAAACCTAGAGTGGTGATATTTGGCCTGTAGCTACCTGGTATAAATAACCTGGACATGCTTTCAAGGTCACCTGTGTTGAATGTAAAAACGCTTTTATTACTGCAAACAACATTATCTTTAATTGATAAATTAAACGATACTTACCCAGTAAGTTGAAGTTTGATAGAGATTCCACCCAGTAAGTTGAAGTTTGATAGAGATTCCACTATATAAGCTGCACCGTTAACTGAGAGATCACATGAGATGAGATGACGTAGAAGTCACATGATTCAGCTTTCAGAGAAATATTGGGCACATTAACCATCAACCTCAGGGTGGGTAATAAGATTTTTCATACTCATCATCAATGATTAAGTAAATAAAATTTTCATATATGTGTAAATACCTCCCCAAAAAAGAGGGTGGGCATGTGATCTCTCGGTTAAGGGTGCAGCTTATATAGTGGAATCTATCAAACTTCAACTTACTGGGTAAGTATCGTTTAATTTATCAATTCCACTATATAAGCTGCCCAGTTACTGAGAGTACACATGAGATTTTAGAGTAATGTACCCAATGTTTTAACCAAGTTGATGGAAGAAAATATACAACCAACATCAATGTATATTTACAACATTTATCTTCCTACATGATATAATGTATACATACAAAGTAAATGTAAAGTTAAGCAACAATAATTGAATGTTTAAATTCTGATTATTGTTATGTCCACTAACAGAAGTCTATTTCTGTTTCCCTGAGTATTCAAGTTGTATTGCAGTAGACACAGAACTATTCTGAAGTACTGGTTTCTCAAAAAACTTGGCAAAAACAGAGTCACTGCTCCAGCCAGCAGTTTTGAGTATTGTTGTCAAAGGTACTTTGGCTATTAGCACTGCTGATGTTGATGCTGCTCTTGTACTATGGGTGGTAAATACTGACATATCTACCCCAGCATTTTTTATAAGACATTAAATTAGTCCACGATATACTGAAAGCATCTACATGCACATCATATGGGTCTGGTCTGTATGAGATATATGGTTTCATCTGATGTGTAATTCTTGACGCAAATAAATCCATATAAAACTTTCCGACAGTCTTCTAACTGACCAAAAAGGTGTTATTGTAATTTCCATTCGGAATCATCATTAATATTCCTAGACATCTTATCTGCCTCAATGTTATTTGTACCAGGCAGATAATTCGCACCCATGGCATTGATGTACTTTACTGCTACAGTGTTGTCTATGTAGAGCCTAACATGAATATTCTGTTTGTCACTACAAAAACATTGCAATGTCAAATTTATATGATCTATTGGATCTCTAGCATCCCACAATCCTCCAGTGGAGATGTTTCCTGTTTTGTTGACCCCTCCCCAGCCATAACTGGAACTGTCACTCTCTAGGATGACGTGGGGTTTTCCTTGAGATATGTATTTAAAACTGTTATCTATGTCATCAATCCACCATTGAATGTCCATTTGCAGTTTGAGACATTGTCATTAAAACATCAAAATTACCCTTATTCATTTTAAGTGCTGCATCTTTCTCATATTCTAATGTCTTATAGTAAAGTGCTGCATGAGTCACCCCTGCTGATGCCGCTACCATATTACCAATAACCTGGGCCAATTCCCGAATAGTCACTTTTTCCTTTTTTAGTACACACATAATGATGCAAGTTTCTCACATTTCTCTGGGGTTAGTTTTACTGTCATGGTAACCGAGTCAAGTATAAATCCCAAAAATATGATGGCTTTTGTTGGAGTTAATACAGACTTGTGTGGATGTACTGTTAATCCCAGATTATCCATCAGTGTCACTGTAGAAGTGATGTTATGGTGGCACTCTTCCACTGAATTAGCCAACAGTAATATGTCATCAATATAACTAACATTTGCCAACCCCTGTTTTCTCAAGTGTGAAAACACAGGTTTCATGATGTAAAGTGATATACTTTGTCATTCCACACAAACTGTAGAAATTTCCTATCCGATTTAGCGATGTTCACAGAGTAATATGCATCTTTCAGGTCCACTGACGCAAACCAACAATCCTGTCTCATAACATTGATAGCTGATTGCAAGGTTTCCATTTTAAAATGAGTAGTGTTAACATACTGGTTAAACTGTCCGAGATTAAGAATGGCTCTGTATGTTCAATCTTTCTGCGGTCGTAAAAATATGTTGCACATGTAACTATACTTAATTTCAAAATCATCAGTCACTAGTTCTATAACTTTTTTGTTTACAAACTTTATGATTTCATCCTCAACAATACCCATTTCAATCTGAGTAGCCTCTTTATCTAATGTACAGTAGCAATCTCTACCAAGAGTTGTCGTTCCTTACACACACTAAGAAGGTCGACTCTGGGTAGAGATTGGTACAGTAATAGACCGTGGTTTAAGTTCAGAGTTCAATATATATAGGCTATCGTGCATAAAGAACTTTTATACCTGGTCAAAAGTTTGTGGGACATATTGGTATGGGGGTGTCCATCCATCCACACTTGATCACCACGTTACTTAAATGTCATTCTGTTTTGATGATGCATGGTAGGAATATACCATATTTGAAAACTTTAGTTTTGGCATATTTTGAAGTAGCACACAGCTTTGCTCGGAGGACGCTTTCCTCACAATAGCTTAATTAAATTTATTGTTTGATTTTGATGGATTCTGCTTGTAATTAAATAGCACATTCTTAAGAATTTATTTTGTTTTAGCATTGATTGATTTTGATAAAACTTATCAATATTTATATAAAAAAAAAAGAACGGAGCTAAACTAATATTTGAATGGTTTTTCTGCAAGTAAAATTAACAGTAAGAAGTACTTAATAATTTCTTTGGTTTTAACATCTCAAGATAAATCAATAATGGGCAGTATCTAAACAATTACTTTCTATACAACGCTTTTGAAGAAAACGACATTAATTTGGATCTGCCACACTTTTGTTTCTGAGCAAAAAATTCCCCAAAATGGTAAAATTTCAACAAAATTCTTACAACCATACAGCTGTTTACCTGGTCAGTCGACAGTCATGTGTAACAATACAATGTACACACGAACGTACATACAATGGATGTGCGAGCATCTTCTTACCCCTTTCATCTGTATGTAAACTCTGCCATGGATGAGTCCATTATGGTTAACAATGGTGAAAGGGTTAAACACATTCAAACGCAAACCGGTTTACCCGAATTATGAGAGTATTAAACCATCGGCTACCACTACCTTTAATGGCAGTACCTGTATTTTTCTATTTATTTTGAATCTGAAGTACTGATTTTGTTTGAATTCCACTGAATATATTAGAAACATAGAGACATTTTCAAACGACAATTTGCGCGAGATATACCGTATATCAAAATTATATGAAAGTTATGTCTAACACGGTCAACAATTAATATACGCCAATGGCCAAAGTTATTTAAGTAACAAAGGACACGACCGAGGCCGAATTCAATTATAAAAAAATACAACATGAAATGTGATACCTTGTATCGGATATACAGTGCTAGACTAATTGCAATGTTATTGATACTTAAAAAAAAAACACTTTAGAATACGGACCAGGGAGGCCTTTTGTCATGTCTTTGATAGTGATTGTTGATGTACAGCGGAGGTTTCAAGAAGGAAAAAACGACCAAAATAGCGTACACGTTTTAGACAAATTTCGTGGAATATCGCTCGGTGCTTCAGAAGAAGAAAAAGTAGTTTGAGAAAGAAATTGTTGACAGACGACAAACGCCACGAGAAGGCATATATGAGCTCACCTGATTATTTTCGGATCAGTAAAGGCAGCATGAGAGTGAAGTCATGCTTCCAAAACAAATTACTCGAGTGTATCAAATCCAGACATGATGACAACAACAACAACAACAACACAACCTTCACGAAACACCCATACTCTGTTAAGCTACCGAATACGCTTCTTGTGACAACCAAACCAATCTACGTGAGGCTACCAAACCATATGCCGGAGGTTATAAAACGACCTGCATAACGTTACCAAAACAAGATAAACGAGGCAACCAAATCAAGCTGAACACAAAATCAGCTACGTGAGGCAACAAAATCTAGCTGAACACAAAATAAGCTATGCAAGCTTCACGAGGAAAACGAGACACAAGAAGCAACCAAAACAATATACACTAAGCAAACAA